GAGAATAGGGGTGGTGTTTGGAGGAAGGTAGAGAACCTTCACAAAATTATACTCATCAAGTATTTCTTCCTCGATCTGTGGGTGGATGTGCAGGAGCATTGTCGAGGACGAGAAGGGCTCGCAGGGGCAGGTTGTTGTTGTTCTTCAAATATTTCTTCACCGAAGGACCAAACACAAGGTTTACCCCAGTCGATAAAGAACTGCCTGGTGACCCACGCCTTAGGGTTTGCCCCCCACATAACATGGAGTTTCTCCTTTATTATCTTGTGTGCTTTAAAGGCTCTGGGGTTCTCCGAATGGTATACGAGTAGCGGCTTTATTTTGCAGTCACCACTCGCATTGGCACACAGGGCGAGGGTCAACCTATCCTTCATAGGTTTTGTGTCCTGGCATCCTCTTCTCCTCTTCGGTGATGTATGTTCTCCTCGGCATCTTCTTCCAGAACAGCCCTGTCTCGTCACAGTTGAAGATTTGCTGGGGGATGTATCCTTCTTCCTCGACGAATTCTGCGAAAGTTTTCACAAACTCCTCTGCTGCCTTTACATCAGCACTTGCTGCCTCACCATGCCTAACAACGGAGTGAATCCCCGTCCTTTTCTTAAAATTATCAAACCAGCCCCGACTGGCTTTAAAGGATTCCTCCTCCGTTGAAGTGCCTGGGGTTTGCTGTTGTAAATCTGAAAAAATACTGCGCGCCTTCTCGCAGATTATTCCCTCGGTGACGGTATCTCCGGCAAGTTGTTTTTCCGTCAGCCACACCAACACACAGATTCTCCATCTTCTCATGCACATCTGTACGGCGCTTTGAAATAATCTTGACACCTTTGGCTGGCTTAATTTTCTTTAGGGACTCCTTCTGTTTTAAGATGGTGCAGATCGTTGACGTTGTACGGTCGTAGTGCTTGGCCAGTTCCTTTACTCGCATGCCTTGCTCATGCTTCTCGACGATTTCAAGCTTTATTTCGAGGGACATCATCCTCCTCTTCTCGGTACTCGCACTACCACTTGCTTTCTTTGGTGCCATGGTTACAACAAAGTTAGAAGTTGGGATTTCAATCACGTGTAGACAGCGAGAGAGAGAGAGAAAGGCTCGGAGATGGGATGCTGTGACTCATACCCTCTGAGCTGCGCGCGCGCCTTGAAAATATACACTTAGAGCTGCGCGTGCCTCGAACTCGTATCTTAAAATTCTGCTCGGTGCCGAAGCAAAAAATCTCCGACCGACTGCTCGTATCTCGGAAAACTCGCACGTTAGTTCGCTCGTAGGTTGAGGTTCCACTGTATCTGCAACACTTCAAAGAGATTCTTCTTGTATGTCTCCAATTGGGTGAATAGGATCAGACAAACAACTTGTCCAGAGCAGTGGTTCTACGTACCCTCAGAACAAAATCCTGCAGATTATGCTACCAGGCCTACACAGATAGCTTGCCTTCAGAACTCTATATGGTTCTCAGGTCCACCTTTTCTGTATCAGACAGCTGTAGATAATCCTGATGACAACAATGTTTATCCTTTAGTGGATCCTGAAGCTGATCCTGATACTAGGTCAGAAGTAGTAAACTTCAGTACTAAAGCCTTTGACACCAGACTACGGCCACATTGTTTTGAAAGATTTTCCAACTGGAAGAGACTAAGCAGGGTTATAGCAAAATTAATTCATGTTGCCAAAAGCTTCCAGAAGAAAACCAATGATGATCAACCCGAAGCTGGGGAGTTTTTCCATGAAAGAGTCAGTTTAGAAGAACTTTCACAGGCCAAAACAGTTATAATTTCTTCTGTACAACACGCATGTTTCAGACAAGAATATGACTGTATTGAACAACAAAAGACACTTCCAAAACAAAGCCGTCTTACAAAACTGAGTCCCTTTGTAGATCAAGATGGACTATTGAGAGTAGGTGGCCGTTTATCCTTTGCCACGCTGTCAGATGAGGAGAAGCATCCTGTCATCATTCCTCATGATCACCACATTGCTACATTGATCGTAAGATATTATCACAACCAGATAGTTCACCAAGGGTGCCACATAACAGAAGGTGCAATCAGAGCTGCAGGTTTCTGGATTCTTGGTGGAAAACGTCTAGTGTCTGCAATCATTCACAAATGTGTCGTGTGCCGTAAGCTCAGAGGGAGATTGGAAAGCCAAAAGATGGCAGAGTTGCCAAAAGATAGAGTCAATCCTGAACCACCCTTCACTAGTGTGGGTGTTGATGTGTTTGGCCCCTGGGCAGTTGTAACACGACAAACTAGAGGAGGCAGTGCTGACAGCAAACGCTGGGCTGTTCTTTTCACATGTCTTTCTACAAGAGCAGTGCAGTGCATATAGAATTGGTTGAGTCCATGTCAGCATCCAGTTTCATCAATGCTCTAAGAAGATTCTTTTCTGTTCGTGGTCCAGCTAAGTTGATTCGCTCTGATAGAGGTACTAACTTTGTAGGAGCATGCAAAGAGCTGCATATATGCTCAAATGATGCAGAACTTCTAGACTATCTTCAAGACAAAGGATGCACATGGATCTTTAACACTCCACACTCATCTCACATGGGAGGTGCTTGGGAGAGATTAATAGGTGTAGCTAGGCGCATTTTAGATGCAATGTTACTCCAAGCTAAACCTACTCGTTTGACTCATGAGACTTTGAGTACTTTCATGGCAGAAGTTATGGCTATCATTAATGCAAGACCTTTGGTACCACTATCTACAGATCCTGATAATCCTACAGTTCTTACGCCTGCCATGCTCTTGACCCAAAAGGTAGACTCTTTATCGGCCCCTTATGGGGACTTTAGTACAACAGAACTTCATGTAAAGCAATGGAAACAAGTCCAATGCCTGGCTGATATGTTTTGGAAGAGATGGAGGAGAGAATACCTGTGTACCTTACAAAGTCGCAAGAAATGGACTGAGACCAGTCACAACGTCAAAGATGGAAATGTTGTTTTATTGAAAGATAGTCAAGAAAGCAGAAACAACTGGCCTGTGGGAATTGTCACAAATACATTGCCAAGTAAAGATGGTAATGTCAGAAAGGTTGAAGTCAAAGTGACAAAACAAGGGACTGCTAAAGTGTATACTAGACCAGTTTCAGATGTCATTGTTCTCCTTTGAATAGCATTTCTGTTTTGTAGCTGGCACAATACATAGCAGAGAGCTCCTCACTGATAGCGTTCAGGCGAGATATTCGCCATTGAGTTAAATTCCATCCTGTGGATTACAATTGGGGTTGGAGATAGTTTGGCCTTGGGCGGCTTCTCCAATCCGAAGATGGGTTTATGGACTAAACTATTTCTTCATGTGGGCTATCAGCTTGAAGTACCACAGCCAAAAGACCCTGATATGTTGTGGACTCATGTTTTGGTTTATGTTACCAATCTAGGCCGGAATGTATTTTCTTATTATGTGTTTTCCCTGTACAGTAGCTATGTATAGGTAGTGATATAATATATTATATCAGGCAGGGAGTATGTTGCCTTCACAGGCTAATTGAATTATAGTTACTCATATGGGATATGTAGTGTACCACTGCCATCTAGTGGCAAACATGAATGGCAGTTCTCCTCTGGATATGTACATTCTCAGACAGGAAATGACTTTTGGTTTAGGAAGTTCTTCAGCCATTTTTAGATTGCCATTCACTGTGGATGCATGTGCCTGATTCTCTCCCAAGGGACTTGAGACATCATCACCTGTAAGTGCCTTTCTTCTGTGTCATCTGTCATTTATGCTACACTAGTTATTCTATGTATACTGATATGCTGTCATTGTATTGTGTTTCAGTTTCACCTATAAAATAAAGTTGGATTCTTTGGTAGACAACACAAGCAGTGGGCTTCTGTTTGCTGGAGATTCTGACAAGGGTTTAGCTGTCCGTTTAGAGCCACACATAGTCAGTGTTTTGAGAATGGAACACATATCTTTATGTATTTCCTTAGTTCTATTGATTCTATTTTTGTTTCTTAATCTTTATGATTTTCTGTGATGGTTTTACATGACATTTATTCATATTTCTGTATATTTTGCTCGAAATGTTGTGAATTTGATATATCAGATTTTGAAGAGCTAGATGATATATATTATTATGCCTTAAATATATGTCCTCGTATACCTCCCCCGATTGTAACTGTTGAAATTTTGCGACAAAGATAAATCTCCACAATGATGATCTCATAACTTGTAATTCCCATTATTAATTATTGGTTGGTGTTTCTAATACATTCATTTTTTTTTGCACCACATTTAACTGGCATTCAGCTAGTACATTTTTGGAAGCGTATATTCTCGCCAGTATATATATTTATGTCCGTACTGTCCTATGCATTGATCATGCACAGAGACTTCGACATTTCTGGCATATATCTTTTTACACTGAGCATGCCCAGCGACTTAACCATTTGAAACATGTTTCTTGTTACACGGAGCATGCCCTTTGCCATGAACTTTGACATTTCTGACTTTGTGCCTTGTGTAACTTAGCATGCTCATGTACTTTGAATCTTGAGAGATATCAAAATGGTGGTCCAATGGCACATTTTTAGCAACATCTAAAAATAAGCGTACACAAAATGCCCTCAGCTGTCCACACGCACCACACACCAAACCAGCGCTGTTGGAAAACTCAAACTTAAAATTAACCTCCCTAGCGGTCTGATTATGTCCATATTTCTGTGCTCAAAGCGGTACATTTTTTTGCATGGAAATATGTATTTTTTTTATTGTAGGCCTGTAATTTTTAGGAATAACTCACTGAAATCTGTCCGAACAAGAGTCTAGTAAACATCCTGGGTATGATAAAATTTGAAACACGAAATCACAAATTATAATTTAATAAATAATCATAAAAAATAATAATATAATAATAATAATAAATTTAATTCAATAATATAATCAAACCAAAAACACTGAGATTTGAAATATAGCTCCAAGTTCGCACATCACTGAGCAAAGTCGCAAAATCGTTTTCAGTGTTTTCAATGACGAATTTCCCCACGAATCATTATCACTCAATTCTGCAAGTGGTTCTGATTTACTATCGCTGTTCTCTAGCTGGTCTAAAACCGCTTTTGACCTAAAGGGACACTTTTTGGATGCCGTGTACGTTTCTCAGTTTCCAGGCAGAAAGAACAGTAAAAATGCAGGCAGGGCACAGGACAAAGCACTAGGGACAAAATGTATGTGAAATGGTTTGATACAGTAATGTTTTACTATGTGATTTTAGTGTATTTAGTGAATGTCACTTTTTTGTCATTTTCAAACTTCCCGCTGTTCCGTCCCCCGTACGTCCCGACGTCACAGCAAACAGAACCCAGATGCCGGCATCCGCTGGCGGAGAATGCTGGGGACACTGCAGGAGGGACATCGCAGGAGCGCAGGACAAGGTAAGAGAAGAACAGATGCCAGAGCAGCGCCGCAATGGTAAGCCCGAGTGTAGCTCGGGGTTACCGCTTGTGGTGCTGAAACTTTACCCCAAGCTACACTCGGAAATACCGTCAGGGAGGTTAAAAGGAGTTCAAATATTATGCTGTGTTACTAAATGAGACGTGTTGGGTATATGTATCGCAATCCCAAATGTTCACAATATTATCCCCCAAAATGTGCTCGCCCCCGTCAATGTTTGCTTCAGTTTGGAATAGTGGTGTCACCCTCTCTTTTTTTTGCAGCTTTTTTCACTATGATTTTGGTACACGTAGCACATTTTGGAGGACAATAGGACAATATTAGTATTGCAATCCTTTGTATTGGGATACATATAACCAACACACATCTGAATTAGCAATATAGCACAACATTTGTGCCACATTTGAGATATCTGGCTTGTTACCCTCACCATGCCCAGGGACGTAGGGTTGATTCACACCACAGAAATGCAGTCTGGATGTATGTGACAGCACAGTGGTTAAGTGGTTAGCACTTCTGCCTCAGAGCACTAGGGTCGTTGGTTTGAATCCCAACCACGGCAATGAAGTTGCATGTTCTCTCTGGGAAGCCCTCACACAGACATGCTGGCAGCATCTTTGGATCCTTTAAGGCTGGGCCTTATGTGAATGTCAAACAATGGTGAAAGCTAATGGCCTTAACTAATGTTTTATTTGATCTTGCTGGTTTGCATTCTGCCCCTTTTGGGAAGGGTTTGTCAAGCCAAGAGCTGAGATTCCAAAGAAAAAGAGAGTAAAAGAGTGTGTGAGTGAGGAGGAGGGGGCTCCCTTTGGGCTACGTCACACAATTCACTAAGCAGTATCTTACCGCATCCGAGTATGCAGTAGGATCCCGCATAGCATTTTTTAAAAAAAAATTGCATTCCCTAAAAAAAACGCTACTAAAATACCACATGAGTTATTTTATCAAGTCATGCCGTCTTTTAGTAGTGAAAACCATGCGTTCATGTTGCAGCTGTCAGCAGAGTTCCCCACTGACAGCTGAATATAAAAGAAAGAATTGCTGGCAATTAAAAGAAAAAGGAAAAACAAAAAATGGCATGGGGTCCCCCCACCCATCCATACCAAGCTCTTCGGGTCTGGTTCGGATTTTGAGGGGAACCCCCACGCCAAAATTAATTTAAAAAATGGTGTGGGGTCCCCCCAAAATCCTTACCAGACCCTTATCCGAGCATGCAGCCCAGCAGGTCAGGAAAGGGGGGGGGTGATGAGCGAGCGCCCCCCCCCCCTCCTGAACCATACCAGGCCACATGCCCTCAACATGGGGGGGGTGCTTTGGGGAAGAGGGGGTTCCCCTCCCCAAAGCACCTCTTCCACACAACCGTGACCTGTGGTTGTAGGGGTCTGTGGGTGGGGGGCTTATTGGAATCTGGAAGCCCCCTTTATCAAGGGGTCCCCAGATCCCAGCCTCCCCTTATGTGAATGAGTATGGCGGTACATGTTTCCACTACCCATTCACAAAAAACAAAAAGTGCAGTGTAAAAAAAAAAAAGGCAATAGACAGTCTTTGACAAGTCCTTTATTAAGAGAAGAAAACTAGAAGAATGTTCCCCGCAGTAGATCCAATGTCAATCATGATGTCCGCTGCCACCCGAAAAAAGGCTAAAAAAAAGTCTCTTCTCCCGACGCTGGCTCCTGGCCATCTGTCTGCTCCACTGTCTTGACAGTTCTTAAATATGTAAGGGGCGGGGCCACCCAGGGACATCACGCATGTGACATCAATGAGCTAAAATTCCCAGGTTGATGATGTCACATGGGGCGGGGTCACACGGGTGATGACCCTGGGTGGCCCCCCCTTACATGTCTAAGAACTGTCAAGACAGCGAAGATGACAGACGGCCTTGAGCGGAGACTTTTTTTTTTTTTAATTCTTGATCATGATTGACTTTGGATCTACTGCGGGGGACATTCTTTTACTTTTTTCTTTTAATAAACGACTAATCAAAGACCGTATCCTGGCTTTATTCACACTACGCTATTTTGTTTATTGTGAATGTACCCCATACTCATTCACATGGGGGGTCCGGGATCTGGGGGACCCCTTGCTAAAGGGGCTTCCAGATTCCGATAAGCCCCCCAGTCCACAGACCCCCACAACCACAGCCCAGGGTTGTGGGGAAGAGACCCTTGTCCACATCAACATAAGGGCCAAGGTGCTTTGGGGAGGGAAGCACCCCCTGCCCCAAATCACCCCCCCCATGTTGAGGGCATGTGGCCTGGTATGGTTCAGGAGGGGAGGGGTGCTCGCTCGTGTCCCCCCCCCTTTCCTGACCTGCTGGGCTGCATGCTCGGATAAGGGTCGGGTATGCATTCTTTAAATTAATTTTGGCATGGTGCTTCCCCTCAAAATCCAAACCAGACCCAAAGGGCTTGGTGTGGATGGGAGGGGGGGACCCCACACCGTTTTTTTTTTTTTTTTTGTTTGTTTTTTTTTCTTCCTCTTCTTTTTAGATTCAGCTGTCAATAATATATATTATTTAGGTCTTCAAAATATGATATTTCAAATTCACAACATTTTGAGCAAAATATACAGAACTATGAATAAATGTTCTGTATAAATGTCTGTTACAGAAAATCATTATAAAGATTAAGAAACAAAAGAATAATCAATAGAACTAAGGAAAACAAATTAGAATACATAAAGATATTACTAGCTAAAAATAGTGCTGTTTCTGAAACTCAGTTGACGGTCACGATTGCCATCTTCCAGAGGACTCCACACAGAGATTCACTATAAGACAAAGTCTAAAAGAAAAGCACGAACGCTAGATGGCAAAACTGTGTTCTGCATATGGGCATTTCTGTCAGTGCATAGACGTTGGAAAGGCATCTATTTCTTGACTATCATGAATTCCCTAAAAAATCAATTTTTTACTCACTGAATTTTTTTTTTAAAAAGGAACATATTCTTTAAAGTGAAGTATAGATATTTGGGAAACCAAATTTCTATGTGAACATGTTTCTACGGCAATTTTTCGTTCCTTTAGACGTGCTTCTGCTTTTTTAGACAGATTCCTTTTATTGTGTTCATTAGTAAATACGCTTTTGCGTCTGTTTGTTAGATGCTTTCTTTGGTAAATGTCTTTGCCTTCTAAAAGTAGACGGATTCCAATGAAAAGTAGACTTTAGTCTATGGCATGCACCTAGACGCCATTTATGCCCTTTAGTAAATCAGAGCCACACTTCCGGTACAATACCAGTTGATAATACGTGCAGCACTGCTCTATAGTAGCAAACTATATACGGTAGATCAATGCCTCCATTGTCCTTAGCTGATTGATCAACCTGGGCGCTTTCTGGGACCACTAAAAGGCCCAGAACTGGGCATGGAAGCATTAAAAAAATATGCCAGAAGCAATATTGGTAGGGACTGTAGAAGAATGGGAATCCGAGGTAGGTCTGTCATTTGTGAAGAGCTGCAGCTTCCAAACCAGGTTAGTATCAGTGCATGCCTCTGTGTGTGTATGCATGTGTGAGCTCCTGTTTAATAATGTGAAGCATGGACAGAAAATTCTCATACAGGTCCACAATCTTTCTAGTGATGTTCATACCCAAGTACAATATCACTTTATCCACCTAGCAGAAAGAAAAGCATGCCCTTAAATGTAGTTATACACTCAATGAGATTGTGACGTTAAGGGCAGCAGACTTTGATAGATTGATCTTGAAATTGGCAAGCCTTCCATATGTTTGTAATGCTCCTAGGAGATTGGGAAGGGTGGTATGGGGGTTGGTGATGAAAAATATTAGATTGCCTGCGAACGCCACAAGTTTATGCTGGCCTGAGGGCTTTTATCCTGTCACATCAGTGTTGTTACTTATGGCGCACAAAAAAGGCTCCGGAGTCAATATAAAGATGATAGGTGATAAAGGGCAACCTTGTCTTGTGCCATTTGAAATGTCAAAATACGCAGACCTTCATTTATTTACTCTGACTTCTGCTGAAGGGAACTGGAATAGAGTGAAAAGGAATTCAGCGAAGCATGTGTGGTCCTAGGTGCCTTTGTGACTAAGGGTGGACTGCATGTCGACCCTGTCAAAAGGCCTTCTCCGCATACATCGAGAGTAACATGGAGCAGGCATTTGGAAGTATGGGATAAGACCTGAAGCGTATTATCACTTACTATGCGAGAAGAAATTAATCCTGCTTGATCCATATGCTCCAGCTGTGGCACATAGGGGAAGCAATCTGTTTGGCAAGTATTTCATAAAAAAAAGTTTAGATGGGTCGGTAGTTCCCCAGTTGGCTGGGTCTTTGCCTTGTTTATCTGAATAAGGGAAATGTAGAACCTCAAGGTATTTTTTGGCATGGACCGTGCTTATACTAAATAATTATAGGCTAACAAGAAATATGGGGCCAACTTGTCAGAAAAGGTTGTGTAATATGCTAGGTAAAAGTAGTTGGGGCCTGGGACCTTCTGAGGCTTAGTGTGGGCCATGGCTACCCCTAGTTCCTCTACAGTAATCAGAGTTTGCAGTTCTCTTCATGCTTCGTATACATGGGGCATGTCTGATGTCAGGGCATGTTTGAACTATTAGTTTATTCAGCTATATTGATTGTTTAGTTGATTGATGAACAACAGTGCCTCCAATAACAATTAATTTATGAAAAATAATTAGGCTGACTAGATACTTATTCCAGAGATACTTTGCCCAATACAGAGATTCTTTGAGGAACACAATAAAATTGGATATAAGTATGGTTGCGGATAGAGATGAGCGAAGTATTCAAAAATTCGATTTGACTGATTCGGCGAATTCCGTATGAAAATTTCGATTCGAGTCGAATATATTCGCTGTGAATTTAAACTTAAAAAGGGTGTTTCTAGGAGCTTCAGAGAGACTTAATATTAGTGCTGAACACTGTACCTTTATTTAAATGCCCTTGGAGTCTGCTGGGGAAGAGAAATAATACTGTCAGGCAGTATGACATGCAGATGAGTGCCGTCGATCTTAGAATCACCGCACACTTCACTCATTTGGCCAGTCACGGGGCCAAAACCAGAGTGTGGAGCCACAGTGAAATGTGGCGGTGGAGGCAGCAGCAATGGGAGGCCATACAGCACCCTATGACAAAAATGGAAACCACCAGCATTGTGATGGAGGAGACCTGAAAGAGGCACATGGCAGAGTGTGGCGATAGAGACAGCAGCAATGGGAGGCCGTACAGGGACCCATGACACACTCTGGACCTGGCAGCAGCATTGAGGAGGCGGTCACAGGGGCCCATGGCAGATTACGGGCCTGGCAGCAGCATGAGGGATCGGTACGGGGGCCCATGGCAGATTACTAGGCCTGGCAGTCAGCAATGGGGAGGCGTACAGGGACCCATGACACAATCTGGACCTGGCAGCAGGCATGGGGAGGCGGGTACAGTTGGCCCATGACAGATTACGGGCCTGGCAGCAGCATTTGGAGTCGGTACGTTGGGCCCATGAACACACTCTGGACCTGGCAGCAGCAATGAGGAGGCGGATACAGGGGCGCGCATGACAGATTACGAGCCTGGCACGCAGCAAGAACTTGGACAGGAGGACGTTCAGTTTCGCACCGTCTGGTGCGTGTGCTCGCAAACTGTGGTCTCTTGGAAAACGGATTCTCAAGAAAGACTGCTGACTGGGAATCCTGTGAAGAGGGAGTAAATTGCAGGGAGAAGGAGCATCTGAACACGAGCGGAATTATGCCAACAAGCGACAACAGGGGCCCAGACAGGATTACGGGCCTGGCAGCAGCATGAGGAGTCGTACGGGGCCCATGGCAAGATTAGGGGCCTGGCAGCAAGCTATGGGAGGGCCACGTAATCTGCCAGCACCCTATGACAAAAATGGGAACCCACCAGCAGTGTGAGGAGACCTGGAAAGTGGCACATGGCAGAGTGGGGGCGGGAGAGGTCGATTGGAGACAGCAGCAATGGGAGGCCCGGTACAGGGACCCATGAGAGACTCTTGATTCCTATGGCAGCAGCATGAGGAGGCGGGTATAGTGGGCCCATGGCATATTAGGGGCCTGGCAGCATGCTATGGGAGGCCCCGTCAAAGTCTGCCAGCACCTATGACAAAAAAATGGAAAATACACCTAGCAGTGTGAGGAGACCTGAAAGTGGCAATACATGGCAGAGTTGTGGCGATGGAGACAGCTAGCCAATGGGAGGCCGTACAGGGACCCATGAGAAGACTCTGGACCTTGGCAGCAGCATGAGGAGGCGGTAATATAGGTGCCCATGGCAGATTAGGGGGCCTGGCAGCAGGCGCTATGGGAGGCCCGTAATCTGCCTGCACCCTATGACAAAAAAATGGAACACACCAGGCAGGTGTGTGAGGAGACCTGAAAGTGTGGCACATTGTTTGGGGCATTGATTCATGGCGGATTTAGTCAGTTGTGTCAGGAACTGGTGGTTTGAAATTCCAGGACTAATCACGGACCTGATTCATTTTCCCAAACGTCAGTCTCCTCCACACTTTGTGTGGGACAGTCGTGTCTCCGCGGGAGTTGCAATACCTCCTGCGCCGCACTAAACCAACGGGCGCTCCGATGCAACGCTACTGGCCGGGATGACAGCCTTTCAAGGGCAAAAATTCAGCTAGTTGGGGCCAAAGGTCAAGTTTCGTTGCCCAGTGTCAAGGGGATTGTTTGTCCGGTTGGGCAGGGTGCTGTCCAAGTAGGCCTGGTAAGCCTGTTGGTTTGAGGTCCTGCTCCCAGGTCCACCTGATGCTGCTGCTTGTGCTGCTGCTGCTGATGCTGCTGCGGCTGGTTTAGTAGTTTACTCATTGCGCTGGTGAAGAAAGCTACTCATCATCGACTTGCAGACTGAGGCAGCCGTGCTGGTGGAGCTGCCACTGCTCCTACCACCCCAATACCCCTCCCCTGCTGCCATGGCAGCGGAACGCGAGCGCACAGGGCCACACAGTGAGTCTGAGGATGGTATTAGGACGTTGGCGCAGACAGGCAGAGAAAAAATCCAGCTGACTACATAGGTGGTTTTTATAGTTACGTTATTTTGGCCTCCCTCTCAGCAGGTGTGAAAAAGGCCACCATTTTGGAACGGTTAGCGAGGGTCCCAACAAAGGGTGGACAGCCAAAAGTCATCCCTCTGTCTGATGGTTTATTATTCGGCTGTCGCTATTTCGCAAGCAACGCAACAGAGCATGCTATGGGCCCATTTTGTGTGCCAAGGAATGCGAGGGACTCTCCTGGCCATCCATCTCACAGCAATACTGCCACGGTTATTTTTTTGATGCGTCTGGGTCCTCTCAGTCTCCTCCTCCTCCCCTCCTGCTAACCTGAAGCTCCTGCTCACTCCTCTTGCTAGCTATGTCCGCTGAGTTGTGTGGAAAAAATTAACCACCCATTTCACATCAATAATTCCTCTGAGCACCAAATGTCCTCCTCTACCTCCTCCTCTTGCTTCCAGTCCTGCCCCATCAGGGGTCATTGTGGCGTTTGAGATCTGTGTGCGCCACGTCTACCGCACCCCTGCTGACCGATCCATTGTTAAAGCATTTGGTCAGAAGCATTTTTGTCCAGTGCACGTCGCAACAGAGGAAATGACGTCCGTTTCATCCCATTAGTCCTGCGACTCACGAATAGCGTGGCCTCCTCAAAGGGCCCTGAGCAAGAGCGCAGGTGTCACGCATGAGCTGCCAATGGCTCCTGACATCTTAAGTTACCCAATGGGAATACCTTTATCCGCTTTGTAGCTATCAGGAAATCTGTGATGGCTTTTGCTGTTCGTAAAAGGCGTCTAACATATGTAGGGTTGAATTCCTACCATATGTTTGCAGGGTTTGATGGAATTCCACCCTTGTTGCAAACGTCACAGCATGAGGAGTAGTCGGATTTTATAGGGGCCCATGGCAGATTAGGGGCTGGCAGCAGCTAAGGGGAGGGCCCGTAATTTGCAGCACCCTCTATGTCAAAAAAATTCTAACACACCATGCAGTGTGAGTGTGACCTGAAAAAGTGGCACATGGCAGAGTGGGCGATGGAGACAGCAGCAATGGGAGGCCGGCGTACAGTGACCCATGAGAGAACTCTGGACCTTGGCGCAGCCGCATGAGGACATAGGCGGTTTATATATAGGGGCCTTTGGCAGATTAGGGGCCTAGGCAGCAGTATGGGAGGGCCCCTTTAATCTGCCAGCACCCTATGTCAAAAAAATTTACACACATTGCAGTGTGTGAGGAGAGGGCCTGAAAGTGGCAAGACATGGCAGAGTTGGCGATGGAGACAGCAGCAATGGTGAGTGTGCCTACGTACAGGGACCCAGGCTGAGCATTACTTGGAATGAGGTTGGCGAGCAGCATGAGGAGGCGGTATATTCTTTGTATAGGGGCACTATGGCAGATTAGGGGCCTGGCAGCAGCTATGGGAGGCCCGTAATCTGGCCAGCACCCTATGTCAAAAAATTCTACACACCCAGCAGTGTCGTGAGGGAGACCTGAAAGTGGCACATGGCAGAATGTGGCGATGGAGACAGCAGGCAATGGGAGGCCGTATACAGGGGGGGGGGCGGACCCATGACAGACCTTCCTGGACCCTGGCAGCAGCATGAGGAGGCTGGTTCTATAGGGGCCTATGGCAGATTACGGGCCTGGCAGCAGCTATGGGAGGCCCGTTAATTCTGCCAGCACCCTATGTCAAAAAAAATCTAACACACCAGCAGTGTTGTGAGGAGACCTGAAAGTGTCACATGGGCAGAGTGTGGGCGATGGAGAACAGCAGCAATGGGAGGCCCGTACAGGGACACATTGAGAGACTTGGACCTGGCAGCAGGCATGGAGAGGCCGGGTATAATAGGGGCCCTATGTCAGATTAGGGGCCTGGCGGCAGCTGCTGATGGGAGTGCCCATAATCATGCCAGGCACCCAATGTCCAAAAAATTCACACACACCAGCAGTGTGAGGAGACCTGAAATTGGCACATGCATGGAGAGACTCTGACCTGGCAGCAGCATGGAGGAGGCGGTATATAGGGGCCCATGGCAGATTAGGGGCCTGGCAGCAGCAATGGGAGGCCCGTAATCTGGACAGCACCCTAATGACATAAAAAATTTCTACACACCAGCAGTGTGTGAGGAGAACCTGAAAGTGGCACATGGCAGAGGTGTGGCGATGGAAGACAGCAGCCAATGGGGAGGCAGTACAGGGACCCATGACAGACTTTTCTTTGGACCCTGGCATGCAGCAATGAGGAGGCGGTATATAGGGGCCTTATGGCAGATTAAGGGGCCTGGCCAGCAGCTATGGGAGCGCCCTTAATCTGCCAGCACCCTATGTCGAAAAATTTTCTACACCACCAGCAGTGTGTGAGGAGACCTGAAAGTGGCCACATGGCAGAGTTGTGGCGATGGAGACAGCAGGCAAATGGGGATGCCGTTACAGGGAGACCCATGACAGATCTCTGGACCTGGCAGCAGCTTGGAGGGAGTGCGGTAATATAGGGGGCCCATGGCAGATTAGGGGGCCTGGCAGCAGCAATGGGAGGCCCGTAATCTGCAAGCACCCTATGTCAAAAAAATTCTACACACCAGCAGTGTGTGTGAGGAGACCTGAAAGTGGCACATGGCAGAGTGTGGCGATGGAGACAGCAAGCTTTGGGAGGAGGCCGTACATGCGGTCTCCATCGTAGAGACTCTGTAACCTGGGCTGAGCAGCGATGAGGAGGCGGTGGTATATAGGGGGCCCATTGGCAGATTAGGGGCCTGCGGCAAGCAGCAATGGGAGGCCCGTAATCTAGCCAGCACCCTATGTCAAAAAATTCTACACACCCAGCAGTGTGTGAGGAGACCTGAAAGTGGCACATGGCAGAGTGTGGCGATGAGAGACAGCAGCAATGGGGAAGGCCCGTACAGGTACCCATGAGAGACTCTGGGACCTGGGCAGCAGCAATGAGGAGGCGGGTGTGGTATGGTATGTTCTGGGGGGTATTTAGGGGCCTATGGAGAGATTAGAGGTCCTGGCAGCAGCAATGGAGGCCCTTAATCTGCCAGACCCCTATGTCAAAAAAATTCTACACACCAGGCAGTGTGTGAGGAAGAACCTGAAAGTGGCACCTGGGCAGAGTGTGGCGATTGGAGACATGCAGCAATGGGAGGCCGTACAGGGACCCATGAGAGACACTTGGACCTGGGCAGCTAGCATGAGGAGGCGGGTATTATAGGTGGCCTATGGGCAGAATTAGGGGCCTGGGCAGCAGCTATGGGAGGCCCATAAATCTGCCAGCAGCCTATGACACAAACTTCAACACACCAGCAGTGTGAGGAGACCTGAAAGTGGCACATGGCATGAGATGTCTTCTGGACTGGAGACAGCAGCATGAGGAGGCCGTATATAGGGACCCATGGCAGATTAGGGGCCTGGCAGCAGCAATGGGAGGCCCGTAATCTGCCAGCACCCTATGTCAAAAAAAATTCTACACACCAGCAGCTGTGCAGGAGACCTGAAAGTGGCACATGGCAGAGTGTTTTGGCGATGGAGACAGCAGCAATGGGAGACCGTTACAGGGACATGGCATGAGCAGACTCTGGACCTGGCAGCAGCATGATGAGGACAGCGGTTATATAGGGCCCATGGCAGATTAGGGCCTGGCAGCAGCAATGGGAGAGCCCCGTAATCTGCCAGCACCCTATGTCAAAAAATTCTACACACCAGCAGGGCTGTGAGGAGACCTGAAAGTGGCACATGGCAGAGTGTAGGCGATGGAGACAGCAGCAATGGGAGGAGGCCGTACAGGGACCCATGACAGACTCTGGACCCTGGCCAGCAGCATGAGGAGGCGGTATATATAGGGGCCTATGGGCAGATTAGGGGCCTGGCAGCAGCTATGGGAGGCCCTTGATCTGCCAGCACCCTAATGTCAAAAAATTCAACCAGCAGTGTGTGACCAGACTGACACCAGTGGCACATGTGAGGAGTGTGACGATGAAGCAGTGGCCGTACAGGCATGAGAGACTCTGGACCTGGCAGCAGCATGAGGAAGCGGGTATATAGGGGCCTACATGGCAGATTAGGGGCCTGGCAGCAGCTATGGAGTGCCATTAATCTGCCAGCACCCTATGTCAAAAAAATTCAACACACAGCAGTGTGAGAAGACCTGAACGTGGCACATGGCATGAGAGAACTCTGGACCTGGCAGCAGCATGAGGAAGCGGTATATAGGGGCCTATGGCAGATTAGATTCAGGGGCCTGGCTGCAGCAATGGGAGGCCCATAATCTGCCAGCACCCTCTAAATGTCAAAAAATTCTACACACAGCAGTGTGTGAGGAGACCTGAAATGTGGCACATGGCCAGAGGTGTGGGCGATGGAGACAGCCAGCAATGGGAGGCCGTTTACAGGGACTCATGGAGAGACTCTAGACCTGGCTAGCAAGCATGAGGAGGCGGTATATAGGGGACCTATGGCAGATTAGGGGCCTTGGCAAGCTGACAATGGGGAGGCCCGTAATTATCTGCCAGCAACCCTATGTCAAAAAATTCTACAACAATACCAGCCAGTGTGAAGGAGACCTGAAGCAGTGGCACCATGGCAGAGAATGTGGCGATGGACGACCAGCAGCAATGGGAGGCCGTAACAGGGGACCAATGACCAGACTCTGGACCTGGCGAGCAGCATGAGGAAGGCTGGGTTATATATGGGCTCTATGTCAGATTAGGCGGGCCTGGCAGGGGGGGGCCAAAAAAGCTATGGGAAGAGCCCATAATCTGCCAGCACCTATGTCAAAAAAATTTCAACACACCTCAGCAGTTGTGAGGAGACCTGAAAGTGGCACATGGCATATGAGAGACCTCCCACCCCTGGACCTGGCAGGCCGCATGAGGAAGCGGTATATATTGGCCCCTATGGCAGATTAGGGTGCCTGGCAGCAGCTATAGGAGGCCCATAATCTGCCAGCACCCTCATGTCAAAAAATTCAAACACAACATCAGGTGTGAGGAGACCCTTGGGAAAGTGGACACATGGCATGACAGAGATCTCTGGACCTGGCAGCAGCATGAGGGGAAAGCGGTATAGTAGGGGGCCTATGGGCAGATGTAGGGGCCCCTGGGCTGAGCAAGCACTGGGTGGGCCCCATAATCTGCCAGCACCCTATTGTCAAAAAAATTCTACACACCAGCAGTGGTTTGAGGAGACCTGGAAAAGTGGCAACATTGAGTCAGTAGTGTGGCTAATGAGACAGACAAGCAGCATTGGGAGGAGCCCGTACAGGGACCCCATGAGAGACACAGGACCTTGGCAGCCAGCATGAGGCGGCCCGGTATATAGGGGCCTATGGCATATTAGGGGCGCCATGGCAGCAGCTATGGGAGGCCCGTTAATCTGCCAAGCACCCTATGTCAAAACAATTCTACACACGAGCAGTGTGTGAGGAGAGAACCTGAAAGTGGTCACATGGACTGAGAGACTCATGGACCTTGGCGAGCAGCATGAGGAAGCGGTATGGTTAATAGGGGCCTATGGCAGATTAGGGGCCTTGGCAGCAGCAATGGGAGGCCCATAATCTGCCAGGCACCTAATGTCAAAAAATTCTACACACCAGCAGTGTGTGAGGAGGACCTGAAAGTGGGCACATGGCAGAGTTGAGGCGATGGATGACACAGCAGCAATGGGAGGCGATACAGGGGAACCCCTGAGTAGACCTCTGGACCTGGCAAGCAGCATCGAGGAGGCGGTAATATAGGGGCCTAATGGACAGATTTAGGGGCCTGGCAGCAGCTATGGCGAGGCCCGTAATGCTGCCCAGCATTCTCTATGTCAAAAAATTTCTACACACCAGCAGTGTGTGTGAGAGAGGATATCCTGAAAGTGGCCACATGGCAGAAGGTGTGGCGATGGGAGACAGCAGCATTGGTGAGGCCGTACAGGGACTCCATGGACAGAATCTCTGGACCTAGGCAGCAGCATGAGGAGGCGGTATATAATAAGCGGGCCCATGGCAGATTAGGGGCCTGGCAGACAGCAATGGGAGGGCCCGATAATTCTGCCAGCACCCTATGTCAAAAAATTCTACACACCAGCAGTGAGTGAGGAGGACCTGGAACGTGGCACATGGCAGAGGTGTGGCGATGGAGACAGCAGCAATGGGAAGGCCGTACAGGGACCCATGAGAGTCTCTGGACCTGGCAAGTCAGCATGGAGGAGGCGGTTTAATATAGGGGGCCTATGGCAGATTATGGGCCTGGCAGCTGCCTATGGGAGTCCCGTTTATTAAATATGCCCAGCACCCTATGTCAAAAAATTCTAAACACACCAGCAGTGTGTGAGGGAGGACAGGTAAGTTGGAACATTGGCAGAGTTGTTTGGCGATGGAGACAGCAGCAAAAGGGAGGCCGTACAGGGACACCATGTCAGACTCTGGACCTCTGGCAGCAGCAGGAGGAGGGCTGGGTGAGCGGTGGTGCGGGTGGGTTGGGTGGGTAGGGTATATAGTGGCCCTAGTGGCAGATTAGGGGCCTGGCAGCAGCTATGGGGATGGCCCGTAATCTGCCCAGCACCCTATGTCAAAAACACGAACACACCGCAGAGGTGTGAAGGAGACCTGAAAGTGGCACATGGCAGAGTGTGGCGATGGAGAAGCGCCAGCAATGTGAGGTTCTCCGCATTGTCGCCCAAACATAGGGCCCAAACTTGTCCCAACATGGGCCCCCCTGGCCACGCTTGACTTTCTGGCCACATAGTCGACATACGGCTACGTTTACTTCCTCGGGCGGCTTGACGAAAAATTGCCACACCGCCGAGTAGGAAAACTTTGTCCCCCGATATCCTCATGGCTGAACTGCTGCTTCCTCGTGCACACCTCGGACCACTATGGCCGTGGTTGGTAGGCTGCAGTGGAGCTGGTGTCCTACTCCGTGGCCGATTGGCTCCACTGACACTGCTTCCACTGACACTGCTGCGACCCTCCTGCTGTCTCCTGGGCAACCCACAGTACTGTTTTCAGCTCACTAGCCAAGTGCCACCCCTTCTCCTGAATGATGTGCG